CGGCTCCCAACAGGAGAATAAGTTTGACACTCGGGCCCTCTGTACTTTTTTACTCAACACCATTTTTAGATTTTAAAAAATAATTTCTAATATTTCACAAATGATTTCTAGTAAATATTTAAATATTACCTTGAATTATATTATTAATTTCTAAAATCCCATAAATGATTTCTAGAACACACGATAAAAATGTCTTTAATTGATGCAATTGATTTTTAGAATTCTAGTAATAGTTTGTGGGATTCAAAAATTATACATTAATTTTTATTAAAAAAAAATCTAAAAACAAAAGATAATTATGCCATTTCATAGGGTAAATTAAATGGAGAGAATATAGTAGAAAATCAAGACACTAAAAATTAAATGGAGAGAATATAGGAATTAGTGAAGAAGATCAATGACTAAATGAGAAAAGAAAATGTATTTAACGCATGATAATTAGGTCAATAAAATAAAGGTAACTCGGAAGAAAATGAAAGGCCGGTTTAGAATATGTGGATTTGGGCGACAAACGAATTGAAGCTCTCCTCAACGATCCTCGAATTCAAACCCATGCTTGTAATTATCATACTATTTGAGCGACAAATACGTAAAATTATCTTAACGTTCCTAACTAGACTATTTTATTAAAAAATAAACTCAAACTCGAGAAACATTCGAGCTGATCAAGTTCGAGCCGATCTCGAGTTGATGTCTTCTTTTTTTTCTTTCTTTTTTTTTTTTGGTTAAATTGAGTCAAGCCTAAAAAGGTTTGGCTCGTCGAGCTTGAGCTCAAGAAACAATTGAAAAGGTTGGGTCTATCTCAATAAGGCAAATGCTCAACCCTACTCATTTTGAAGCTATAGCATGTAGATCTATATCTTTTGCATGGAAGAATTTCAAAATTGGTCCTACATGAATAAGGTGATGATATTTTTTGTCTCGACGGAAAAGTAATGTTGAGAGAAGATGATAATATGGCATACGAATTAAAAACGAGAAAAGTAAACAACACAAGATTTATGTGGTTCGGCAATGTGCCTACGTTCACGGCGGCTGAGGGATCTTTATTATTCTCAATCGTCTCAAATACATCAATACACCATGTATTTATACTATAACCCTACAAGGTATAAATTTACTTAAATACCCCGTACCGTACCGCGGGGGGCCCGCCCCCGCACCCCCGACCCAACAAATCGACCCAGCCCAACAAGGACTGATGCCTGCTCGCTCCGTTACGCTCGCAGGCATCAGCCTGCCCCCTTCCTTTGTCAATATATGAGCCATATCAACAAGTAAAAATCAAAATAGCCCCACAACCAAAAATTAATGAAAAGTAGGATATTTGAAGTGATTTTCAGCTCGAAAAGCCACGTCGCACAGAGGTGACATTTTCTTTTGACACGCTGACAACACTCATCACACGTGGCATGACACAATACCTGTGGAACTAGTTTTGAAATTTTTTCTATTTTTATATTGTTATGTGCTTCTTTTGTTATATAAATTAATGTATATATATTGATCATTATAAATATCATATTAAGTAAATCTAAGACAATCATTATGAATATATATAATTATTATAACTTTTTATAAACAATTTCAATCATGAATAAAGATACAATATGCATTAAAATGAAACTAGAAAATCTTTTTAGTTACATATATTTTGTTATGTGTTATTTTTAATAGTTATTAGTTTAGATTCTTTTTAATACCAAATTATTATAAAATTACAAAAATATTTTATTCATGACATTACTATAGTTAAAAAATTTATTCATAATTTTTTTTGTAATTTTATAATTATTTAATAAAATTTAGTAAAAAAAGGTTAACTATAATGATAAATTATTATAAAATTACAAAAATTATTTTACGCATGACATAATTATAGCTAATATTTTTATTCATGATACATATATTTATCTTTTTTAATTTTATAATTAGTTACTAAAAAATTTAGTATTTTTTTATAATTTTATAGTTAACAATTTTTTTAACTATAATACTACATTATTATAAAATTAAAAAAATAGTTTTATTATTGGCATAATTATGGTTAAATTTTTTACTATAATTTTTAATAAATAATTAAAATTTACCAAAAAATGGATATAGATTAAAATGTGATATTCGGGAATAAATCAATTCAACAATTGAACAATGCTTCAAAAGTTTTTCAAATATTTATATGTTTATGTAAGTTACCTATTAAAAAGAATAATTCTCAGAAATATTGGTAATGAATTTATGTAATATGATATTTCTTTTTTTTTTCGGTACAATGAAGGGGCCGAAGCCTAAGCTAGTACTCGACGAGGGTATGACACCCCTATGAGGTCGTGCTCGAGCCACTGACCCATACCACTGGGGGGCGAAGTGACTCTTTGAATTCCAATCGGGCAAGATGCCGCTAGCCCCGCCATAAAGTCCGCTGAGGGAAGTAATATGATATTTCTAAAATTATTTATGGTCATTCCAAATGGCACGAGCAAACAAAAAAAGAAAAAAATAATTATATTGTGTATTTACCTATACATGTAAATATCTTCGCCTTAGAGTTTTTTCCAATACAAATGATACGAGTTGAAAAAATCGGCCCCCACAACCCCAAATATTGTTAAAAGAATAATTAATGCTAAGAAAAACTTTTGAAGCACTGTACATGATGTATTATTGAAAATTCACATTTTCAATTTTTTGTTTGAAGTTTTTTAATTATTAACTGAAAATTATGGTAAAAAAGGTTAACTATAATTAAATCATGAGTAAAACTATTTTTAGTAATTTATAATACTTTAATATTAAAAAAGAATAACTATTAAAAATAACACATCACAAAATATAAGTAACTAAAAATATTTTCTAATTCCATTTTAATGTATATTGTATTCTTATTCATAATTGATTTTTTTTATAAGTAGTTATAATAAATAATTATATAAATTCATAATGCTTGTCTTATATTTAATTAATAATATGTTT